CTGACAACACGCATGCATGCATGCACGCACATGAGGAAAAATCAAATAAAGGATTGAATCTTATTGGGCCTAAAAGAGCTTGACATATAACAGGCCCTCAGTACGTGCCAGCTCCCACCTTTCCAGGAGGCTGCAGGGACAGAACAATCTATTCTTATGTGCAATAATAAATTTATAATTATCAGTACTACGTCCAACTTTCTTAGGTGATGATGAGCTACTGGAGTGACCTCATTCTTGCCTGGACTGGTGTAATCGATCTGAAAATCCCTGTAACATGATAGAATGACTGAATGAAAGAAGGGATAAAATGACCATTTCCATAACCTGCACAGCACTGGACACACTGCAAGTTGTTCATAAGCCACTTATGGCAGACTGACTTTTATGGATGACTTCCAGAGGCTAGCCCCAGATGGAGCAGCCAGGGAGATAATGGGGGAGATAGATAGGCATTCCCAATGCACAAATCCTATATTTCCAAAAACACAGACAAACTTGTTGCATTGTGGTACTGTGACTCAATTTTATAAATTCAAATTCTGGGTTCATACAATTCCAATGTAAACCCAATTGTCCCAGGAAGCAAATCTACCACAGTACAGCGCAGGAACTTATCTTGGCCTCCCTTTACCCAACACCTCTTCCAATTGAACTCACTTCAATTAAGACAGAGAGGAGCAGTTAGATGGGGGATGGCCAAGATCCAGTTGGAAATGAGTTTCAGCATCTGGATTCAGTGAACACCAGGGTTAGTGATCTGTGGAAAAAAGTCTGGGCAAAAAGCAATGTTTTTTGCATGATTTTTCTGGAAAATTGGTGAGCATGAGACAACCTTGGATGGGTGCTTGGTGGTACAACTAAAATCAATCATTCATGGAAAGGGAGTGTGTGGCCTTTCAGAGAAGAAATAAATATCAGTGATGTGAAATGAGTCAACAATAAGTCTAATTCTCAGTCAAACGAGACTGTAAGAGTTCCAGGACCAGAAAAAAATCCCACATTTTTCTTCATCTTGAAGATAACCAGATGAAGATTTGTTTTTAAAGTACCAATGTATTCATATACTTGGAATGATGGATTTGCTTTGTAATGAAGCTCTGTATCTGGAAAAAATGAAACTTTTAGTATTCTTTTTCAAGTGATGTACAGTTTATGTTTTTCTCTCATTTCTTTTTCTTGTTTATTTTTTTTCTTCTTTCTCCTTGCTTCCCTTTTTTTCTCTTTTCCCATTTCCTTTTCCTTTTCTTCTGATGGGGATGGTATATTTATGACCAGTGTCTGCAGCTACAGCAACCTTCAGCTGAGGTTTAACAGAGTTGTGTGTATGAAACAAAGAACAGAGGGATACAAGTTCCTCTTAGAAGCCTACATGATGACAGCGTGTTTCAAAACCAGAGATCAAAATTTACCATAGAAGGAACCAGAATTAGTAAGCCATAAGGAAAGGTAAGTGGCAAAGGGACCATATGAAAAGGCCATTGGTGGTGGGTCAGGCAGTGCTGGCAACCCTGGGTTCAGTGGTCCATTATAAAATACAGATAGTAACTTTTCCTATCTCCTGAGAGAATCTACAAGAGAATGTTTATAAAGTTTTGCAAAGTGTAGGGTTGTGAGAGAATAAAATGAGATAATATACAAAAAACTATTGGAATCAAAACTGGGAAATAAACTTTCAAAATGACATTAGGCATCATAATTATTATGACTATCATTCAAGGATATGAATCCCGCTCACAGAAAAAAATCTGGATAAACTCCAATTATTGTTATTAATATCTTCATCCTCATTTTCTTTGTTTTATAGCTGTTTTATATTTCTTTGCTTGGCATCTCCAGATTGCTGTCTTACTAGATAATCTGCTTTGTTCTTGTTTCAGATTTTGCTCTATCATAGCAGCTTTTAGGTTTCTTAATCCATTAAATCCTAAGTTTTCAATTTTGCAGATGTTTCAAAAAATTGACATAAGTGCATTAAAATAGGTTGAAAATAATAATCTAGAGCTTAAATGTTATTATATTATTATCATAATTATATTGCAATATAATCATGTTATTATAAATTATATCACACTATAATATATATTATTGTGCTATAATATTATTTTGCTATAATAAATTATATTATTATAACACAAATAACAATGTATCCTATTATATAAGAATATTATATTAGTTATTTTATATAGTATATATTTATTATATGTAGTAACAACATCATATAATTATATCATTGTATAATTATGCATTATTATATTGTGTATCATATATTACATATATTATTACATGCACATTACATTTAATTATTTATGCATTTTACATATCTGGGATGATGGGTCAAAATGGGTTAAGATTTTGCTGTGTATAATCCACGGGTCAATCATGACCCAATTCTATGTCCAATGAAACTCTATATGTCCGATTGTTCAAAGTGGAGCTCCCAATATAACTGGAATGGTTTATAGTGCAAAGCTAATTGAACAGATAAGCTAACAATTCTCAAGCCTTATATCAAAACTCATAGTGAAAAACTGAAGATTTTTTAGAAATAGCAAAAAAGAGGTCAAATTTTCTAAAATTTAAAATTTAATCTTATGAAATAGGTATATAACTAATTTTTGTTCACAAATATATGTTAAAACACATGTGAAGATCACTTATATCCAGAGCAAATAACTGAATCAAATACTGGAAAAAACATTTCCAACTGAAAAAGATGTCTAATTTGCATGCTGTCTGTAAAAACCCTGTTGAACAATGCATCCTATGCAAAGAAGTGTGTGTGTTTTTTTTTTTTGTTGTTGTTGTTGTTTGGTTTTTTTTCCCCTATCCTTGTTTAGAAAGTTTCTAGACTGAGTCCTCTGTGGGTTCTTATGACTATACTATGATGTGGGGTTAAAAAGGGCTTTCAGTAATAGGTCTTCAATATGCAACAGAAAGGGGGTGGATATTTAAATAGAATGTTACACACAAACACAGCAGTGGTTTAAATAAGGAGAATGTTAGACATCCATACTGCTGTACTTTAGGCATGATGTATTCCTTCTTGACCATTCTGTTTATGGTTTTTAAGACCAATCAGATATTAATTATTTCATACTAACTTCCCTACCAGAGTCTGATCCTGAGGACCAGGGACTGATGAGGTCTGACTCAGTAGATTCATTTCTCTACCCTGGCATAGGAGCATAGGCACAGAACATGCTCTGTGAACCCACCCACCCACCTACACTTCTACCTACTTTGAGAGGTCATTTAAGAAAGTTTAAAATAGAAATACTTAAGAAATGGAAATTAAAGGTTATTTGTATCCATATCCAGCTTTGGATCAGACCACTTGGAATTTGGCTGAAGACCTAGAAGGGCTGGGAGGGAACTCAGACAATAAACAGACACTTTCAGTGTAACCTAGTAAATGGGAGATTGGGTAACTGAGCTTAGGTCTCTTTTCCCTTGCATTCTTCATCCAATCTCTCAGCAGCCCTGCTGATCTGTTGACCTCAACTCCCAGTCATCATTCCTACTGTCCTCCTTCAAGCCCTCATGGCTATTTATCTGGGGATTAACCTAATAAAACTGGTCTCCCTTCCTTTAGACACGTGCCTCAGACCTTCTTCCTCATGGCTATTATCCAGGGTTTCTTCCAACTGAGACCTGAATGTGTCCACCTACTCTTCTTGATGATGCTCGATTCCTTAGCACGTTTTTCAGGGACTTTTTAAGACGTGGTCCCTTCCCTGCTCTCTAATTTTTATTTTAAGCTATTTTTCTAAGAATAATTTGGGCCAGAGCTGAAATTCTGGACTATTTTAATTACCATCAAATATGCTTATTACCATCAAATATGCTTGTTACTTATCACGTCCACATCTTCTTCCATTGAAAATTCTCCTGCCTAGAAGCCTGTCCCTACCCTTCTGTGTCTGGTTTATCTGTATTTATCTTTCAAGTCTCAGCACAAACACTGTCTCCCATGAAAAGGATTTCCTAACCACTTGTTATAGTTTGGATATGTTTTCCCCAATAAGCTCATATGATAGACAATGCGGAAATGTTCAGAAGTGAAATAATTAGATTATGAGATTTGTATCTGATCAGTGAATTAATCCATTGGCTGGATTAATAATGTAAAGGGATTATGGGCTGGAAACTCTAGGCAGGTGGGGTATAGCTAGAGGAAATGGGTCACTGGGTATGCTTTTGCATTTTATGTTTTATCCCTGGTGGCTTGATTGCTCTCTCTGCTTTCTGGCTGCCATGAGCTGACAGCTTTCCTCTGCTACCTGCTTCTACCATGATGTTCTGACTCTCCTCAGACCTAAAGCAAATGAGTTGGCCCCCTATGGACCGAATCCCTGAAACTGTGAGCCAAAATAATCTTTTCCTCCTCTAAGTTGTTCTGGTCAGGTGTTTTGGTTACAGTGACAAAAAGCTGACTAATGCACCACCTTTGCATTAACTGGAGTTGTGTTTAAAGGACAGGTAAAACTGCCTGCCCAAGCAGGAAAAGAAGCAATTACAAAGGGACAGAAGAATGGGATAACATGAACCATGTGAGTCCTTCACAGTCTAAGGTAAGTGACCGGCACATGTGTGAGGCTGGAGTAGACACACTGCAAAAAGGATGATGTGCCCAGCAAATCATCTGACTTGTGTCTCAAGGGCTACAGGGAACTATTAAAGGGTTTGGGCTGGGAAGTAACATTGTCATTTTTCACAAAACAGAATATCACTCTCTCCTGGAGGGGATGGGGAGGGGATGGATTGGCGTGGAGAAGGAACAATGAAAAGAAGGGGCAGTCATCACTGCCTGGAGCAACAGTTAATCCTTTAGCAAAAATACACGGCAATGCAACATATACTAGGTTGTACACTAAGACAATATTAGTTGACTTAGGAATATGCAAATCTTCCAATTACTGGGATATGGGTGACGTGACAAAATGGGTTAATCAATGGTGTAAAACATTCCTGATGCTACAGAGTAAGTGTCAACTTACCAATTTTCCAGTGACACTCTGACCACCTTCGTTCAGCCAGAACCCAGGGACCATGGCTGAGAAATAAGGCCCCCAGACACCTGGTACAAAAATTGGGTCTTTGCTGATCTGGAAGAAAAGGGGAAAATTGTGTGAAAATGCTGACCCTGAGGGGCTGGAGGGAGCCTCACCCTCCTCCCACCTAATGCTTCTATGACCATAGAATTCAGCTTATTGTTGAATACCTCTATGGTGGGTGAGTTATTCTCTCCCAAGGAAGATCATGGCTCTATCTTTGGAAATATTTCTGATAAGTTCATTTAGATGTCAAAGCAGTAAAGTGATTATTTTGTAAAGAAACATATGAAGCATTTCCTTGCTGGTTCCCACTCTGTGGCAGAGACTGTAAAATTCGTCTCCATTCTCTACCCCTCCTGTGTCTACATCTTTTCTATGACCCTTTGTGGCTCCTGCCACAGAGAGGTGGATCTAGTTCTCAACCTGTTGAATCTTGGGTCAGTCTTGTGACTTGTTTTGCCTAGAGAAGGAGGCAGATGTGACACTGTGCCAGTTCTGGGCCTCTCCAGGGCCATGTGCTTTTTTTCCTTCTCTTGACCTTCTACCTTGGCCAAGAGACATGCTCCAGATGAGAAGACTTGTGCAACAGAGCTGAATCAGCCCAGTTGTCTCAGGTGCTGTCCCAGATATATGAGAGAGCCCAGGCAAGACCAGAAAATCCCTCTAGTTGGCCTGAAGCTCATTATCCCAGACTATCCCAGTCACCCAGCCAATCAACAGACTTATGAGCAAAAATACAGCTCTACCATTACACTACTAAGGTTCCACATTTGTTACCTAGCCTTTTTATGGAAATAGATAACTGATACATTCCTCTCACAAACAATTTATTTATAAGCCACCTAACAGCATGCCTTCTGGTGCGTCTTCATTTCAAGAAGCTCCAATCTAGCAGGAGCTATATGAATACATAGACAAATAGACTATGGTATGGTCCATGTGATGGTAAAGACAAGACAGAGAATGTTGAAGAGGGACCTAGAGGGTGAGGAGTGTGTTAAAGAAAAGCAAAAATACCATAAGGCCAACAAGTCATAACTAAGTAGACAAAATTTTAGCCATCCCGATTTCCCTGAAATGATAGCTCTAATCATAAACAAAGCACAAAATGTAAGCTTTATGTCCTTGTCAGCAGGATTTGGTGAAATTAAACCAGTCAATGACAGGTAATCAGATTAAATAGTTCTGTTTTCCTTTAAAAAAATGAATGTATAACAGCCAATCAGGAAAGATGTCAAAGTGCTTCTTCCTTTATGCTATGAGACCTGCTTCTCCATCTAGCAGGAAGGGCTGCTGAGGTCAGTTTTATAGTTTTAGGAAAGGGTTACCTAGAGGGTAGGAAGGAAGAGGGAGTTAGGCACACAAGGTTGACTCCATCAGGTCTTGAGACTGAGCAGAAATCATTTATTTATTCAACAAATGTTTATTCAGCTCTTGCAACATACGCTTGGTACTATTCTAGAACCTAGAGATAAAGAAGTAAACTGAATATTCATAATTCCTTTCTTCATGAACGTCATCATCTAGCATTTTAGCAGAGAGACCTTCTTTAACTCTCTTGATGCCCACTATTCTAACTCCTTTTCCACTAAACTACTCATTCCTCAAATCAGTAGAAATTTCCAATCCCCAAATGGGAAGGGAAGGAAGAAAGGCAAGGAAAACTATTTGATACTGACATGTTTAAATCTTGCCAAGTAAGGGAAATTTATATATAAAAAAGGGAAATTAGCACCTAAAATAGAAAGAACAATCTCAGGGGAAAAGACGGGTTTCTATAGGAAAAGACAGTTCAGCTTATATTGACATATTCGTTCTTTACTGGTTCAACAAATGTTTCCTGACTTCCCACCAAGATCCAGATATATGCCAGGCACTGGATATAAGTGTTTTTTTTTTCTTTTTATAAAGTGCATAGTCCTTGCCCTCATGGAGCATGGCACCCTGACAGGGAGGAGTACCAGGGTGTTCAGTCATTCAGGTTTGGCCAGGACTCTACCAGTTTTAGAGCTGAAAGCTCTGTGTCCTGAAAAACCCCTTGGCCTCAGCCAAACTGGACAATTAATTACCCCAAGACAAGCACCCATCAAATCATCACAAAAATGTGTAATTACAAACTAGGATGAGTGAATGAAGGCAGGCTACGCATATCATGAGCGTACAAAGGTGAGGTGCCTAATACAGTCTAGGGACAGGGAAAGCTGCACTGAAGAAGTGATGTGTGAACTATGATGTGACACATATATACAATGTCCTCAGGTAGGTGAGTGTGTGTGTGTGTGTGTGTGTGTGTGTGTGTGTGAGAGAGAGAGAGAGAGAGAGAGAGAGAGAGAGAGAGAGAGAGAGAGAGACTGAGCACAAGCGCACGCGCAAGCGCTACAAGAAGCATATACTAATTGGTATTCATTTTTATCACTCTGCTTTTGTCCATGGAAAATTCTATGAATGCCAACCCTAGAAAATCCTGCCTTAAACTGCATTGCAGAGCCTCTCAGGGGTGAAGAAGACACTCCATATTTATAACCTCTTAGAATGCAGGGTCTGGACAGGTAGATGGACAGCCAGCAAAGTCAGATCATCTCTTTTTTGTGCCTCACATCGGCTCCCTTCCAGAACTCTCAGCCCCATCTGATTGGCTAGTCTCAGAGGTTGTGTAAGTTTCTATGGCCATCCAGCCAGTAAATCGTCATGGTAGGATCTGAACTGAGCAGATGTTGACCTCAAACTCCTTGATACATATCACCCCCTGCCTCCTGCCTCCAGTCACACACTCTAAGGATGTTATTGGGTGAGCTGCAGTAGGCCTTCAGTAGAAGACTGTGGCTCTGTAGCTTACAAGTGTCTAATGATGGCTTTGCCTCGCTCTGTTCAGGAAGACAATTTTGAGCTGACATCTGTCTGTGCTCACTCATCTGGCATGACACAAGATTCTCATCTGACATTTCAAGTAAACTAAGGAAACAAAGAGTACTTCCCATCATTTCCAAACCCTTGGCTTCTGGAGGGAACAAAAAATAGTTTGCTTTGAGAGAGAGGGTCAGAGAATACACATTTGTATATTTATGGGTTCTTTAATCCTTCTAAGAAAACCTAAATATTTGAAGAGATTTTTGTGAAAGCTACTTCCATGCTGATGGCTGTCTTGGTCTGGAGGCTGCTCTGTGACTCAAAAGGAGAGAGCTCACTGCACTACACTGATGACAGGTGACTAGAGGATGCTGATGACAGGTGACTTAGAGGAATGCTAACTTCCTAGTAACAATGACTCTGCTGGCAGCAATGGCTAAGACGGACAGGGAAGTCAGTACAGGCCTATTTTAAGCATGTTACTAGTGTTTAATTACCTAATCCTCACAGTCCTAAGGGAAAATGCTGCCCATTGCTCCAATCATGCAAATGAGGAGAGTTAAAAATGTGTCCCACATTACAAAAACACCAAGCAGTAATGTAGCACAATCAATAGGTTCTATATTTGCCTCTGCCAAATGATGTCCTTGATTTTAATCTACCTTCATTTCTTAAGCCTTTCTTCTGTGTTTGAAGGGTAGAAAGCAAAGTGCCACTGGAGGCAACAAAGGTTCACTTACAGTGAGCAGACCTCTGGCCTTGACAAGTGGTGGGTTAGGCCATCTTTACTTCCTAAATGATTTCAATAGGTTTTCCCTGATATACTGGTGAACAGAAGCAGAGAGAGCAGGGAGGGTCAGGCCAGGTACAGCTTGATTTTATGTCTGATTCTGTCTCATTCTAAACAGGTGACTTATGCAAGGTAGCCTTTCTGAGCTTCAGAGTCCTCCATTCTAAAAGGAGAGGAATGGATGAATGTTGGAAAACTTTTCTGAAGATTAAATACACTGCCACAAACAAACTGATTATTCAGGAGGATGTGTTAAATACCAAATAATTGTTTGCTTTCCTTGCAGTGAAGTCTATGTGATGGGATTGTCAGGTGACTGGTTGAACAACCATAGCCAAAAGTAACTGTAACCATGCAGGAGGTCTTTAGATCTGTCCTTGGCATGACCTTAGTTAATAACCTTAACTAAGATGTGTAAGGTGATATAAAAGTAAAGCTTATCATATTTTTAGATGGCAAAACTTGGGATGATTGTTTATGGGGTATGTCAAAATCAAGAATCAAAATTACATTGGAGAGCTAGAACACTTGGTGAAATTAATGTTTAAAAAAGTCAAGTCTAGCTGTGATTGTGGCTCAGTGGTAGAGCACTTGCCTAGCATGAACAAGGCACTGGATTAGATCCTCAGCACCATATAAAAAGATAAATAAATAAAGGTATTATGTCCATCTACAACTAAGAAAATATTAAAAAAATAGTCAGTTGATATTTGTTGAGTAGTTTAAAAAATACTAAATGAATACCCACATACAGGCTGGGTAGCAGGTATGTAGGTATTCATTTAGTATTGTTTAAATTGTATATGATCATTTGATAAACTCTTTAATTGTGTGTGATATAAGTTAAATTATAACCCCCCCCCAAAAAAAATCCAACATTTTGTTGTATACTACATACCAGGTATCAAAATAAACAAGGCTATAAAATAATAAGTCAAAATACTACTACTACTACTAATAATAATAATACCAAAGTGAATGGTCCCAAACTCAAGGAAATCCTAATGTGACAGAGCAGGCAGAGTGAAAATTTTTAGAAGTTTACAATAAAACATGCCAAGTGCTACAATGGTATAGGAAAGAGTTGGTAGTAGCCCAAAGGAAAGAATAGCAGGCTACCTGGAGAAGAATGAGTACCTCACAGGGTGGCCACCATGAAATGGGGCTTTGAGGGAGGAGGATATGTTAGCATAGACAGGGGCATCACAGGAAGAGAGGGCTCAGTATCATGGAGCTGCATTTTGATTTTATGAGAGCTCAGTTTAGTGTTCTGCATTTCATTGAAATGAAAGATCACATGGTTTAAAGGACAGGTATAACTTTGAACATCGCATTCAAAAATTTTCAATTTTTGAAATTGTTAGAGTTGGGAAAAATCCTCAGTGAAATGACCTTCTATGTCAGATCATAATAA